GAAAAACGCGCTTGAATCGCCCGCGAATCGCTGCTCGATATCGGCTTTATTTGGCGCTTTTAATGCAAACTGTTTCGCATTTGAATCACTGGCATTTTCCAAGTTGATTTGTCGCCTGTGCATGTCAATCACAAACATTGAGGTATACCTCGGACTTTTGCTTCTCGGCTTTTTTGCACCTGGATATGTTTGCATTCACAGTGGTGGGCAAATCAATAAGTTTAATTAATGGAATTTATGATTTTTTTCCAAAAATAAAAAGTTTACAAATTTTTAATTTTTAGACAATTTATTTAGAAAGCGAGGGATATTCCATATATGGAAATAAAGATTTTAAATATTTTCAGCAAATAAACTAATGTACTAAAAATATTATGTTTTTAATGTTTGCTTTAATTCAATTTAACATTTACTTGGTCAAACAAGATCTTAAGTTTGTTACCATAAAGTGAGGGTTCACTAAAAATCTGTTCATAGCTGTTGGGTTTTTTTTCGAGCAGCTTATAACACGATTTCCAAACGATAATTAGACAGCGACCACGGGGCCAGCTGCCACTTAATCTAATGACAGTTCTCAGGCCCCAGCACACCTCACTCGGGAGCCAACTCCCCGGCTGATCGGCAATTGCCTAAACGACTTCTGGTTTGGCTTAGATAGATAGTTATGTAAAGTGCTCGCTGGCTACCAAACAACCACCACTACGGCTGACACACTTCCGACATACGGGTATCGTATCGGCATAACCATATCCATACCCATATCCATATCATACCCATCGTGGGGAAATGAAAATGGAAAATGGAAAATCAAGGCAACTCCGCCACTTTTGCGGACGCTCCAATTGTCGCTGGCCAAAACAGAGACAGGCACTCATTCTCCGGCCATAAACTCAATTCGCCTCAATTGCTTGCCATTGAGCTAGTTTTTCCAGGCGCATCTGGACTTCAAGTCAACTCATCTCAAAATCAAATCAAAGCGATTCGAATCGTATTAATCAGTCGCGATTGTAAAAGGAAACTTTCTTTCTTGGGCATTTCTTGGCTGGCTTTTTCAAAGCCTTCGACTTGTTTGTGCATTTGACTTAATGGCACTTAGGGGCTGTCCATATATTACGTAATCACGTTTTTGGTGATTTTTGACCCCCTCCCCCCTGGTGATCAAACGTAATCATTCGATAAACAACCCCCCCCAAAGATTACGTAATCCCCAGAATAAAATTTTTTTTGTTTTAATCTGTGGATTCAAACGGAGATGCAACCCAATCTTTAATATTGTTTATAAATGAAGTTTGGTATGACACATTCGGTTCGTCTACGCTGATATTATCCCCAACATACTCTTCGTCAAGCCATTCCAGGTCTTCGCGTCCTTCGTGTGATTGAACCACTAAACATTTTCTTTTACGCCGCCCAGCCACTAAAAAAATTTTTTCTCTGCTTTCCTATTTAAGTTTGTAGCAGGGACCGTAACTGTTATAAGTTTTATTTTAAAAATCACACTTTAACAGTTATTTTCTGATTTGTAAAGTAAAACTCAAGGAATAACTGTTATTTTTTGAGTTTTATAATCAAATAACAGTTATTCGTCGTGATCAAAAATAAAACTCAAACTTGATTTATTGCCATTTTGTGGGTAAAATAAATTAAAAAAAATATGGTTATAAAATTTGCGCGGTTGCATGTTTTTTTTTAATTAATTCATTTTTTCAAAAATGTCAAGGGAATAACTGTTATACATAAAAATCAAAAAATAACAGTTATTTTTTGAGTTTTATTATAAAAATCAAAAAATAAAAATAATTACGGATTTGTAAACTACAATGCGTGATTTTTTTGTATGAAAAATTTACAATAACACTTATTTTTGGTCCCTGGTTTGTAGATATAATTAAAGGAAAAAAGTTTTTAAATAAATTCTTTAAATAAAAAAATTAATATAAAATGATTACGTAATCATTGTACAAGACCCCCCCTCCCCATGTAATCAAACATAATCATTTCAATGACCCCCTCCCCCCCCCTAGGTGATTACGTAATATATGGACAGCCCCTTAGGTGTCGAACATTTTATGATTTTACGATCGATGGTGTTATATGGTACTGTCTGTCGGCTCTTGCTGATTAATTCAGGCAAATTGGGGAGGGTTACAAATGCGGTCTTTGTTTTTCAAAGTGATATCTAGAGGGGCGCCAATCTGAAGTCTGTTATCGAAATTGTAAAATGCCGTATTTGAGTAACCATTTATACTTTTTAAAAAGTTTATTTAAGAGCTTTTCTTCTTCTCGATCCTTTCTCTATCAGCTTAATCCCCTAATAACAACTTTCGCAAAAATTTAAATCAAATCTTTCGGCCCCACAATATGACAATAATTAGAAATCAATTTACACGTCGGATTTGAGATCGCCACCGATCTCTCCCGACTTGTGGACCATTGTTTGTCTAGCCCGTCCTTTTTGACTGTCGGATCAGAGTCCGCGGCCGAAAATTTACATCCATGTCCATGTCATGTGTCCGAACGACTTGGCACGTTTATGTTTGCTTATGCGCCAGTATTAAAGTCTTAAGTGAAATCCCATGTCACGTGTCAGAGAGCGGACCGAAAATACAACCCCAGCCGAAATCGAAAACTTAAAACTGAAAACTGAAGCTTGGCCACCAGACCGAAATCAATTGAGAATCGCTATGAAATAAATACTTCAGCAAATGCGAATGTTAATAAATATGCGGCGAGAAGTAAAAAGAAGCATACAGAGGAAAAAAAGGTTAAATGTATGCGAAATTATAAAAAATATTTAAATGATACTTTGAGAGTTTTTGATATTATTATAAAATTGCGTAAGTATTAAATTTTCTGCTACTTTATTAAGACATTAAAAATGAGTAATATAATAAAATAGACTTAATACCATCAGTTAATTGTAGTATCAAAAATTTCAGTTTATTTTACAAGAATTAAATCTCTGCTTGGGGAATTCATCTTTTGGTAAATTCGAGTATGGGAATATCTTTAATACTGTTCTAATTTTTTTCTCCGTGCAGAGTGGGTATTTTGGCATGGCTTAGAAAGCAGAAGACACTGGACGATGGTCGGGCCCCGAGGCGACGGCTGTCCGCCGAAGTGACCCAGTTTCCCTCCATCTTCAGCTCCATCGCCATACCATCTCCATCTCCATCTTGGATCTCCAGTTCCAGCTTCGCAGCTGCTCCTCCTGCTCCCAACTCCCAACTGCTGCTACCCAACTTCGTCTGCCGGTGGAAGCGGTGGAAAAACAAACTGTCAGTTTAACCATTTGACAGTCGCTTTGAGATACACAAGCGCAGATATGAGATACGACTATGGGTTCGAGTATCTGCAGCTACTTCTGCGGCGACTGCATCCTGCCAGACAAGCTATCTGGCACTGGCGATCTGCTTCATCCCCCCAATCCTCATCGTCATCCCCAGCCGAAGCCCCCTGATCTTCCCAGTCCCAAATCCCCAAGAATTGGCTCCCAACGGCGCCCGACAATTGAAACTTTTGCGCCGTTTTGGCGTATTTAAAGTGACATTTGCTGACAGTCGGTCGGCGATGATCCCGATGGAAAAGATTCGAGAGGATCGCCGGTTCGGCGGAGGAGGAGCAGCCTGTGATCTACGATACAAGCAATGGCAGTGGTTGATTTTTAATCGACGAGCTGATCAGTTCAGTGGGAAGAGTTATCTTTATTGTTAAATCAAATTCATTTAATTAAGCGGAAAGTGATGGCTTTAATTGTTTTGTAGATTTTTCGCTACTGATTGATGGTTTTTTTAGAAAACTGATGGTTGACTTGAAAGCGAACATTTTATTTCCAACAAAATTATAACCACACACAAAAAAAGCATGTCCCGTAAAATCAATATGGCCATGTACATTTCAGGTCATGCAAAACCCATATCGTTTCTGCATGAAATAAATAATGTAAAATCGATCTACGTTTCATATTGATTTTTTTGGGTGCAGTGCTAAAGTATCAACATTATTCTAATCCATTTCTTAATTTTTCGTTGTAATATTCGTCTCATCAACATATCCCAAAAAGCTTTCTGGTACCACCCAGAAATAAAAGGTTATAACCATTATGTCTCCTTGGAACCTAATTTTAACATAGAACAAATTGTTTCACACTCTATGATGACTTGATTAAAAGCGGATTAAACCGTTTTACGATCAGCTTTAACATAATTTTGGGGCCCAGAAAGGTCTTCCGCCTACGTTTTCGACCAAACGGGAACTCTTTTGGAAATACTCTTTGGAAAATGTGTCAAAGTGGCGCTGCTGATAACCCAAATGGGCGACAAAAGAGGCGCTTAGAAAGATGAGCGGAAATGGGAGTCGTTGAGATGTAAGTATAACAAAAGTCGCTTCACCGACAGTTACAAAAGAGATTTCTTTCTCTTTTCCATTCTTCGGCGTCGATTTCTTTGCTTTTTCTTTTCTTTGCCCTCCCCACTTTTCCACTTCTCTGATGGAGTCTCTTCAACTCTAGTGGCAGCATAATCAAGAGGCCATTAAAGTAAACACACTAAAGACGACGCCGATTCCCCTGGATCGCCACCTTCAAATGCTGTCTGTGATATTAAAAGTTACTATTTTTGTAAAGTGGGCAAAGTACTTAGAAGATAAATACCAATAACCTGGGTAGATGGAATATATTTATGATACCCAGTCATGAATTCTTAATGTATAATTATAATAAAATGTGTAGGTACTATTTGCGCTGTAAATGTTCATAAGTTCACTGTCGTTACCTACAGCTATTTAAAAGTTCTTAGAAAAACTACTTATGAATCTAATTTTTAAATAAAATAATCTCACTACAATTTTAATATTTTAAAGATAAACTTTGCAGTTAGACTCATAGTTGGGAAAATATAATGCAGCTATATAATAAAGTTAGCTTTCTCGAAACGTTCAAACACCTTTGCTATATACTGAGTACGACAACTTTCGAGGAGTATCTTATAGTACGCACTCACCTGCATGTAGCGCGCCAGAGCCGCGTTCCGTTGCGCATGCGATCTGAGCTGCGGCTGCGGAGATCCAAGAGGACTCACAATCGTCGATGTGGATCCACCGATTCCGGTGTCGTAGCCCTGAGCGTTGGCGCCATCAACATCTGTGGGAGAAGAAAAAACGAGAAACAAATGCAAAACGATGTTAGTAATCAAGTCAAGAAATGTTTGCACAAACGCACTCGGGAAAAAATGCAAAGTTTAATTGTGGAAATGTGTGAGTGCAAAAAGTCGGGTGAAAAGTGGCACAAATGCATGAATGTGTTATATGTATGTGGCCCTTGAGAAAGACGTTTTTCCTGCCGTATGCATTGGGTCAAAGATGAATGAAGTGGGTCAAGAAGTCATCGGTAAATCGTGAATCTTTATTGAACTGGTGGGAAAAGTATCGTGCTAAATTTCTTACTTAGAGGCTCAGGAAAAATAAACAAAAATTAATATGAAATCTTTACATTTCAGTTAATTATTAAATATTTTTATATAATTTTTAAAATTCTAATTTTTGGCATTCAGTCTTCCTAAGCTTTGTCTTTCTTAAGGCTCATTCACCGCAATTTTTTTGAGTGCCCCTTCAAGTCTCACATAATTATCCCATCTAAATACCGTAACAACAACTGGTTGAGGTAATTTCCATTCCACGAACTGTATCACTTAATTAGGTATGCAAATAAAGCAGAGCCCTGATCATAAATAAAGAGCAACCCAGCGAAGTCGCAGGCCAGATCGTAAATTCTCACAGCCAGAGGCCCCAAAGCAGGTGACACGATCGTGTACGATTGGCAGCTAATAAATCCAGTGGCAGGCTGGGCTTTAGGAATCGTGTCAGCACTTGGCTAAAGACGGACATAACTTTCGGTTTTCATGGGCTTGTAACCGGTAGGAGTTGGCGGTTGGCTTAAGTCCCCGGTTCAGGCCACTGTCTCGTGGGCTTCTGCTTTTTATGAAGTTAACCGACAATACGAACTCTGCATGCCAAGCAATTTGTACGCAATCCGAATATTAATTTACCAGAAATAGGAGGTGAGTATGCCAAGTCCAGGTATCGCACGATCAGTAGCTGCATTTGCAACTTGATCCGCTATTTTAACGACTGAAGAAATTGCCAAGCACTGCGAATTCTAATGTAACGTTTTTTTGCGAGAAATGGCCAAGAGTATTTAGAAATACAGAATTCTTGGGTGGAAAATCAGGATCTTGGTATCAGGTAAAAATATGATTTAATGATAAAATATGTTGATATATATTTTTAAGGAAATTAAATAAAGAAAAGGTTTTAATGTCGTCTATAATTACTAACTTTTCTTATTCCACCTTGATGATCTAAAAAACCTTTTCATAATTATTTTAGCATATACATATTATATCTAACTAAAGGGTCAAGATATACCATTTTAAAATTAATTTGGTATTATTATACTTTTTGAAAACCTTTCTCACTTCAATTTAAAGATGGTCGTTCAACCACTTAAATATCCATTTGTTTCGGCATTCCTTCACATAAAAACCAAACAAAACACCCGGCATTATTATTGGTCCCAGTGCAATTTCTTTGGCATTTTGCACTCAACATGTAACAAAATATTTGGCTGCCTCATATGGCATATCCGAGTATCCGAGAGATATGCGAAAAAAGCGACGAGATACACAGCGAAACAGCATATCTGCGCGGTACTGAGATGGAGATACGGACTCACCTTTCAGCGAGCTGTTCATGCACATGGGGCACTGGTCGTTGCGGAACATGCAGGAATAGCACCGTTCGTGTCCGCAGGTGTCGATCAGTTTCCGTCTCTTGCCCTTGTCGAAGGATATGCGGCAGGAGGGGCACACGGAGCCACTGGCATCGTGTTCCAGGAGACGTCGGATGGACTGGAGATCTGCAAAGGGAGATTGCCGAAGCGAAGGGATACATTATTATGAGTTGAGAGTCTGCAAACGGGTTAATATATAAAGTGAGCATAAAAAAAAGAAACAGTTTAAAGCGTTTCAAAATGGTAATGAGGAAATTACGAGAAGCCCTTCAGAGGGTTCCACAAACAGGTGTTTATTTATTATTCCTGGAATCAGTATTAGTCGGGCAGATTATCATAAGCTTAAAACTCATACTTGTACTTAATATAATAATATAATATGAAGGATGTTCATATCATTATTTTAAAAAGGGTAATTGAAGGTAGATTATATAAGCGTGTGTATTTATCTGTTATTATGTTTTCTAATTTATTCGACTTGGAGATTATATTTCCGAAAATGCTACATATATAATGCTATTTATGTTAAACATTAAACTTGGGGAAATGCACCATAATATTAGATACTATGGAGCAAACAATAAAATTAATTTAAATTAAAATATTTTGTGGTACCAATTAAATAGTTGTTATCCCAAAAAATTTTCCAATTATTTTAATCAGCTCAATAATGATATCGCCAAGTCAACAATCCCATTAATTTCGATACCTTCTGAAACTTAAAGCTTAGATGCCATTTTCCAGTTTCCACTCCTAACCAGATCAAACGGCCAAAAAAGAGTTACAAATTCAAATCTAAATACACAAATCTCGTTGCACTTGTTTTATGGCCACCGTTTGCATAAATTGACTCTGTCAATTAAATCTCGTTTGTGCAACTGTCAATTGTCATGGACCCAATCTCTGTCGGCAAAAAAAGGTATTCGCCTGTTCAGCGTTTTTTTTTGGGTTTTCTTTAGGATCGTTTATCGTTTGTTTAGCTTTTCAGCTGCACCTGCTCTCCTCCTCCTCAGTGTTTTTGCCCCACCAACTGGCTATTTAAACCAATGCCAATCAGCGGAATTCTTTTCTTGACTGCACTTGGCTCGTACTCGTAATTGATTTAATCTACGCCGCCTGCCTGGTTTATTATTTCTATTAGCACTTTGTCTTTCTGTGTCAATATTATGTAAAAATGCCGGCCACCGAACGTCAGCGTTTTCATTTGCCTCGCTTTATTTGTTTTTTGTTTACAAATTTTGAGTGAAAAAATTGCTGACAATCAATTGAATTCAGCGGAATCAGAAGCAATGGGAACAAATTATTTCTTTTTATGTAGAACTTAATTGCTTTAGCTTGTCATGAAAACTACCGAATCAGATGTATACAAAGAAGTGGTAAAGAAATTTGTATTTTAAACAAGATATATAAGAGACAAATTAAAAATGAAATATTCGTGGAAAAATGATTTATTTTAACTTTACTATATCATCATTATTTATCCTCCTCATCCTATCAATTTGTGGCTTTAAAGTGCATATTTTTCGTACTTTTTTATTTATCTTACTGCGTTCCCCAATTAGTTGGCCAATTTGAGGACGTCAGTTGCAAGTTGCAACCCCAACATGCATTTTGCCACCCCTGAAACGATGTTTCCCTCGCTTTTGCGGCATCTGGTGCATTTGCTGCTTTTGCGCCTGCGCACACGACACGCCACCGGTGGCGATTGCTGCCGCATTTGACATTCTCTGCAATATGCAAATTGCCTTTTGTCTGCGACCAAACAAATGTCATTCGGGGTGCACTTGTTGATGGAACAGTTGTTCATAAGTTGTGCCATGTGCGACGACGCGGTTGACTCTTTGGAAGGGGTCACACTTTGGCATGGTCAATTGTATGCCATGCCATGCCATACCTTCCCATCCCATACCTAACCCATCCAACGCAGACTTTGCCAGTGAAGTTCAAAGATAAGCCAGTCCATGTGGGCTGTGAACTGTGGTTACCTCCTCCTCCTCTTTCTTTCCCAGAGCCTCCTTTCAAGATTCCTCTCCAATCCAGAGGACTAGCAGCTGCGGCGGCCCACGCGGGAAAAGCGGAGAACTGGCGAAAATATCAAACTGCGGTTTTTGATTTGCAATAAATAAGCGGGGAAATGGTCGACTGGTTTTATACCCTGTACTTGCAGGGTTTGTAGAATTATATATAAGACTACGAAAATATTAACCCATAAATATAATGCTCATTCTTCATTATTAGTTCATAAGTTCAAACTTAAGATAGTTTGAATTTTGTTTAAGTAATCCCAAAGGTTAATTAGTCTAATAAGAGTTTATATAATAATTATTTATATTTCTATATTAATTTTACCCATTTGGCTTTCAATATTTACTTTAAAAAACCTTAGGTATCCCCTGTTCGAGTCAATCGACATTTTCGCTCTTTCTCGTTTTTGTCAAGTGGGCATGAATGGCTGTGGATATATGGATATGGAAATGGAAGTTGGAGTAGAAGTCGAAGCCCATGCGCTTGTAATCCACTTTGCCAGCCGACCGGACGTGGTTCTCGTTGGCGGTTGTCGAAGTCGTTGTTTCCCACTCTCGAAAGCCCCGAACAGGAATCGCAAAGCCATCTGACTTAGTCTGGGGTTTTTGGTCAAACGAGGCATCTTGGCCGCCAGAAAACAGACTGGCCGTCGACCATTTGTACTTATGCAATCGATAAAGTGCTATCTCCAAGTCTCGAAGTCAAGTCACCTGCTGGACAAGATGATTTGTTGGCTGTCCTCCCAGGTTACAATTTTCTGTGTGGGCTGGGAACGACATCCAAGAGGTTTCGGGGCTATCGATAGTAAAAAGTCTTGAGACTTGTTTTGGCAACCTAGCTGCTTTAATCGGGGAAATCATAACCATATATCAAATATTAGCATGTTGTTAATTTGGTTTTTTTTCCAAAACATATTATTATATTTTTCTATTTTGAAAGTTAATAATAATTTTATAGTGTTCCCAGAGACCTTGACTCTTTGATAGTAACTACGACATAAACATATATTTTAAGTTATGCATTTAGCTCGTTATCTGCGCTCAAATGGATGACATCCTGTAGAAATATGTAAGGGTTTCCTGTCGCCTGCAATTTTCTAGGCTTCCAACTCCTTTGAAAGGCAGCTGGTTTTATAAATCCGATACAACGTGTGGGCTGCCAGGAGGTACTTATGTATGTTCTTGTAAAAACATTTACATTTTTATATGCATTCATCAGGCTTAGACACGCACCTTGTTCTATAGACCGTGGAAATAGACTTAATTTCATGGGTATTAAACAAATTAATTGCGTGGATGCAGTTTCGCAATTCTTGGCTCATAAATTATGGCCGAAATAGGAAAGATCCCAGCTGCGGTTGATTTATGGAGCCTGTTGTAGAGACCAATGCACTCTCTTGTTAAAAAATTTTAATGCAACAATGGAAAAAATACGTAAATTGCTAAATTATGCGAGGTTAGCTACTGCAAGGGATCGCCATCCCCTTCAAGTTTTTCCTTTTTTTTTCCACGCATGCGCGGCACAATTCTGGGCTGCTGTTAGTTTGCTGTTCATTGGATTTGCGGTCTGTGCTAAATTGATTTGAATTTTCCGCCGCATTTTCCTCTCTCTCTGTGGCCGCAAATAAATGTTAGTGGCCTGCCGGTTTGCCCCCTCAAAGCTTCCAAGTTTCTGCGTCGCATGTGGGCGTTTTATTTCTGCTAAATTGGCAAACCACGATGGATCGTACGGCTATATGGTGTAGTAGGTGTGTGGGCGATATATCTGCGTGTCTGCATCTGTCTGCGCGCTTGTGCTGGCACTTGTTTTCCTTTATGTAATTTCTTTGCAAATTATTTTCTTAATACCCAACTCGGGCCTAATTCAATTTGCGGTTTTCCCTCTAACCGAAACGTTCCCAGCGGAATGCCTCTGGAATGCGGAATGATGATACCCGTAGTTGTGGCGGTTTAGCCACAAAATTCAAATTTGTAAGTACATAAGTGGTAAAGTGGTTCTCAGAGGAATGTGGGAATCTAAGAAAGGGAATTCTCGGTGAACAAAGTTCATAGCAATCAAATAGAAGAAGTAATGAGAAAAATTAACCTAAAAAGGTATTAGAAAATATATTATTGTTCAGTTTTTTGGAGTGTATTATTAAATAATTTTTGATTTTTCACCGTATTTTTAGAATGGTTAATTTTGTTTTTGCATTTTACCGCTGCAAATCCCATTTAAGAACATTAGATACACTATTTATCTGTCTTTATGCATGACTTTAATACAACTGCCTTTTCAAAATGATTTTCATATGGTTTATACTGGGATCAATACTTTTTCCAAGTCCTGCGGAATTTTTATTTCTTAAGGGTAAGATTCAAAAAACCATTTACAAATTTTTTAAAAATGCTTACTTTTAGTTTGCAATAATGGCGGGTCCTGCGTTAACGAGAAATGGAGAAATAGCACTCATTGGAACGTTGTTTGTATGGAATGGATGGAACTTAAAAGTAACGAAGCTGACAAATGTCGTAAACCCTGGAAATGTTGCCACACTACGGAATACGAAAAAAAGATTCCATATCGGAAAGGCGAAGCGTGAAGCCCTAAGTTTAATATCAGCCAAGTGACAATATCGTAGAAACTGGTTTCTAATTTTATGACCCATTAAAATAAATAAAGTCAAAACAAAAGGGCACGAGCTTTTCTTGTTCTTCTGCGAAAGAGAATTAAAATAAGCCAGTCATAAAAGCCGTGTTAATAACCTCGGATGTGTAAAAATAGCACCCGCAACACATCACAACATCATATAGTCAATATTTTTTATATTAAAATTTTCTATAATAAAAAAATTAAATATTTTTGGTCAAAATACCAAACCTATAATAAAATCGCCTGCAAATCGCTTGAAAATCGCTAGCGGTTTTAAAGTACAGTTTTATAGGCACTGAGTAAAAGTATTTTTGATATTTTCATCTGTTTCGCAGGGCAGGTCAGGGTTATTCTAAATGGAGTTTTGCTATGCGGATTGGACAGCTCAGGGTTAAGTGGAGAAACGTCTGACCCAGCGGGGGAATGATGGTGGGCGAGGGAGAGGGGATCACACTCCCGCCGAGCTCCAATAGAAAAATGCGTATTCATTACAATTGATTGACAGACGACTGGACTCGAACCCAGACCAAATCAATTCATGCCTGAAGTGAGCGCCCAACGGACCATGGACCATTTACCAGTTGCCACCAAAGCCAAAGAAAAAACCCCAAGCACCACTGACCACCAGTACAACCACAATGGACAGCTTTTTGCAGCCTCAATTAGATTTCAGCAAAAAGCCAATAGCATGTTCCCACTTAAAATAAAGTTTATTGAATTAACAACTAAATTTCTAACTTTAGGTTTAAGGTCCTCAAGCCAAATTGCTATTATTTAATTCCAAATAAAATATGTATTTATAGTGTGGAAAATTACTAATTGCTAATTAATAAACAAAACTTATTTGAAATCTTTGCAAAATATTTTTTATATTTTTCTGAGTGCCCTGCAAATGATTCTTCAGTGACATGGAACATTTTCTTTCCACTTCTGCGGTTTTCCATTGTTCACAGTTTTAGATAAATTGGTAGTAAATTGCTTTGACTTTGGATTTTGTTTTGTTTATGTTTGATTGCTTTTAACATAAATTTTATATTGTGTTTTAAATCTGATCAATTTGAAGGGCTTTGTTTCGATAAAACATTTTCAAGTTCACTACGTGGGTAGAAAGCGTTTTGTTATATTTTTATTTTATTACACGATTTCTTGTGAATATTTTTTTCTCTCGACTTTTGTTGTGCACAATTTGCGTGGGTCATGGTTGGCATTGTTGTGATTTTGAGAGCGGTATCCGTGTGGATAGTGTTTGTCATCGTTGGTTTTCGAATGAGTCAGCTTGCCGGCGAGTCGGAAGTGAATCAAAGCGATCTATAATTATACCGGTATTCCTGTGTGCTTAAATTTGCATTATTCTGGGAATCAGTGGGTGTGCATAGGTTTCCTGAATCTTAAAACCCTTTTTACAGCAAAATGGTGACAAAATAAATAAGAATTCTATGCAAGAATGAGAGCACAGAAGAGAAAGGTGAAAACAAGAAGACAGGTAAGAAAAAAAAGCAAAGAAAACAAGTCAAATTAACCGCGAAATTGGATGTTTCTCGTTCGTTTTTCGTTTCTGGTAGTTATGCGTTAACTTTTTATGCTTTTTCGAAAGCCCGGCCAGCGAATTGTGAAGTAAGCCCAGAAACGAACTGTTAAATGTGTCATAAAACCGCGAGAGCTGTCCGGTTAAATGAGTCGCAAACAAATCGGCGACCATAAATAACCCAAATGGCCACTCGAATGGCAAATTTCGTGAGATTCTGCACTTTGATGCGCTCTCTAGCAGTTCGTGAAAACGTGAGCTGAGTTGGGCTGAGTTGAGTTCGGTTGAGCTCGTTTGAGAAGAGTTACCTAAGCGTAGCCTGCGGGGAAAACAACCGGGAAACTGGGCAGGAAAAACGAGGCGTTGCCAACTGGCCAACTGAAAACTATGGACCACTGCGCAGAGGGCATCGCTCACTTTTCAGGGAAAACCCATGACAAATACACGGTGGAAAATGTAACTAAAAATGGTAAGGATTGTATTGAAATCCTAACCTTTAAAACTGTATTTAAAATAAAAATAATAATAATGTAATAAAAAACAATTAAATAAAGTATCTCTGCTTATTTTTTTGTGAATTAAAGAAAAGTCGAATAGCTCATACATATTAATCTATATTTTTTATCTTTCTCCAACAAATTATAGAAATAAATTATATATTTTTTTTTCAGAATACTCATACTAAAGTCTCTTAAGACTCTATGTTTTGTATCTTCCTTTCGGAAGTTGTATATTTCACATGTCTTTAACCATCCATAACCTTAACACTCCACTTCTGCACTCCAGTTTATATTTGTTTTCTTTTATCTATCTTTTAGCATTGACCCACATTCCCGGAAAGGCGGCAAGACGAAGACAACAAGTTCAGGCCATATGTGCCATATGTATAAGACACCATCTTGAGGTGATCGCCGAGTGAAATGTCACCATTAGTCAAAGCCAAATCAAATGTATAGCCGTAAATTAATATTTATGGCACTTAAAAATTGTGCGACACATGCAAATCCGAATGTGTGTCAAGCCGGCCGGAAATTTGCCAACACACACGCAGCAAATACACAGAAATAAAGTCACCCAATGCGAATAAATCAAATGGCACTTCCGCTGCAACGTGGGCAGTATGGTTTTAAAGAGCTGGAGAACCCGAGCCCGCCAGCCGAATGAAAAGTGACAATTTCATTGTGGAAGACGTCGAGTATTTCCAGCCCCCAGAGCCCCAGACAAGCACCCAAGTCAATGCCGCGGGATTTCGTACTTGTAAACAATTTTTGCACGTTTTTTGCTTATTTTTTTATTACTATTTCTTTCTTTGGAGTGGAGTACAATTTCGGGGGAAGCCCACGCACAAAAACTCGGCCCAGACAAGCTGGCCACCTCGTCTATCGGGTAATTCATTCATTTCCAATACGCCCCAGCTGCATTCACAGCTGATTCATTCACTCGATCATTCGTTCGCGTTCCATTCATGAGACATTTTTGACAAACAGTCTTCGAGAGTCGCGGGTTTTTTGGGTCGTCGCAGTCATCGTGGTCGTATCGAGTATATAGTAGTCTTAGCCGTGGTCCAGAGATCTCTGTCCATAATTGGCAGCGACCATCGATCAGTCGCCTCGCTAATGCGGGCTCGTAGGCTGCATTTAGCCAGTGATTCGAGACTCGAGTTCCCAAAGATTTAGTGCATCGCCTTGGTTTTTGTTTATATGGCCGATCGGAGTTGGGCAATTTGTTAGGCTATAATTGCCTGCATTATGCGGGTTCGAGGTGGAAATAAAAGACAGGTGATAAAAGCTTATAAATCTTGGTAAAGGTTTATTATTGATTAACACCAAAAATTACAGTTCTAGAAAGACGAAGTAATTTATATTTCCAAATCTTGGTAAAGAAAAGCTTTAAGGTTTTCAATATTATTTTCATTTAAATCCATTTAGTAAACACTAAAAATATTTCTGATTGCATTTTGTGTATAGAAAATAAATTATTCATATACCATTTAAAACCGATTATTAAATACTCAAAAAAGAAATCTGTAACTCCACATTCCGTTCCACTAAATCAATAAACAACTGATATCTGCAACCTGAGATCTGTTTTCAAACGCATTTCATACGGAAAACCAAAACACTTCAATTCAATACAAAGGCAAGTCATCGCTTAAAAATTCATTTCAAATCATTTCATCGATTCAGATTAACTTTCCATCAACAAAAGACTACCACACTAAATCGACCTTGGCGCATTAGTCTTATGCATAATCGGTTGGTCTAAAATGCATAATTATGCAGATGAAATATCATCTGCCCGAAAGTCTCTTCTGGCATCTGACTAACTAGTCGGTCCGCTTTGGTTTTGCGTTTTCCCTTTGGGGCTAAAAAATTAGATTGAAATTAATTAAGAAAATTAAGTGGCTAATTTGGGATTCGAATTTCTTTAATAGTTAGAAAAAAACCAAACAAGCCGCCCAAATTAATTACGCATTTTCATCGAAAACGAATTAATTTAGTGGACTCGACAACGGGAAAAAACAAAAATGAAAGAAATCTGAATACATATTTGTCATGATGGCTCGCTCAACTTTAGAATTTTTAAGCTTTTTTATTTGACAATAAATCTGCAGAAATTTGCTTTGCTAATGCTATGTTTAAACATAAATTTACGATGTTATCTTAATAGTTTATAAACGTTGCTAATGTGCTAAAATTAATTTTGGCTATGCCAAATTTGCAAGAACGCGAGAAGAGAGAAAATGTATGGGAACGTATATTAATTATTTGCAGAAATTATAAAAAGAAACCACTTTTTTTTATAAAAAATTAAAAAGGTAGCATTTTTAAATTAATTTATCTATTCTATCTATATTTTTAAGTTTATGGCTATTTGATTTGAAGTGCCCCTTTGGCACAAGTCTTCTATTTTGGGTCTATCACCATAATTTGTAAAGACAATATTTCTGTTTTCGTTGTCAAATATCGTTGGCGACATTAGCACATCATTAGCGGTATTTGTTGCTACTTCTGGCCAAGATTTTTCTACTATTTCTGGTTTTGGCTACTGATCTAAGATCCTCCTTCTGGCCAACATTGGTCCATTATGCTAATGGCTCAACAGCGGCTTCGGAGTCCGCAGTTGTTGCAGAAGTTTCTGATAAATTATAAAATATTTCTCTCAACTGGATTGGGCATAAATCTGCATAAATTACCCATCTGGAAACCCTATATCCCCCTCCAGAATTGACAAGTTTTCAGCATTTGTCTGGCGCGTTACGCGACGCTATCGATGGTAATCTGCCACAAAGTCTTCGAAGGCAGCATACCAAATGAGGAAGGCCAACACGTGTGGGCGCCACTTGGAGTGGATGCCACACACACGGTAAAATTCAACAAAATTTAAATTTAAAATAATATTTGGGAAAGAAATATACATTTTGGTTTAAAACCTTTCAAAGAATATAAAAAAATTATTAAAATATCTAAAATTCCAATTCCAGATGTAAATTTAGGAATATTTGTATCATAAATGTTTGCTATATTTTTTCTTTGAGTGCATCCAAATGCATACCCTATTTGTATCTACATCTTTCTTTGGTGTTTCTAATGTGTGTTAGATTTAATTTCCCCTTTCGATCTATCGCCGTTTATTGTGGCGTTTAAGGCACTTTCTCAGCTCCGTTCTGGCGATCATTAATCATTTCTTTCCCTGGGCGGGGCTGGTAAATATTTTGACCAATATTTGTACCAGTTTTATCGTTCTTGTTTTTTCTCGTTCGGCTTTTGTTTTTGTAGTTTCTGAATTTTTAATTTGCTGTAAATAGAGCGTGTGATTGGCCCCGCCGTCGCCGTCGAAGTTGATTTCAACTTTTTTCGGTTTTTGTATCTCAAAATAAAATTTTTAATGCCTTTTGATTGATTGATTTCGCTTTTTATTTTGTAAGAATCGAAGAGAATCAGCACTGTTAGTATTTCTTTGTGAAATCAATCCCTGAGATAGAATATTTGGTTACCTTTTTGTAATTGTTTGATTGACAGCTTAAATTGGCATCGTTGGCAAAACAAAAATTGATAAAGTCAATAAAGAATTTAAAAATAATTTTAAGCTGTCATTGTTTTAAATGAGTCATAAATTGGTGAATGGACATATGGGTTACTGATCGGAGATCATGGAACTTTTATTTCTATTTTAAGCCTAAAATACTTGGGTACACTGTAATGTTTTCTCATAACTGACCTTACATCCACACAACCCCATAATTACAAGTTGAAGTATTAGCTGCCCATAGTTACATTACCCATATGATTAATGGAGCACCCAGCCCAACCAGATAAACCTCAGATTATCGACGAACATGAGCAGCAAGTACGCGAAAAAGAAGATCTAATGGCTCGACTTACAACCAACATCGAGTGGTTATAAGTTATAAGTAGTTACCCAATCGCAGTCTCAGGTGTTCGTTTGTCAATGGATGACAAAACCAGTGTAAAACCTCATGTAAGACCGAGACTTTCCCCGCCCCTTGGCCCCTTAACCATTTGCCTTGCTTGGGCAATTTGCCACGCTCTTTAGAGTGTATCAAATTCGAAATAATCCAGCAACAAATTGCCTCCAAAAACGTGATCGAGTTGACATTGAAATGTTGTTTTGTTGGCAAACTGGCATGGAAAACTTAATAGCAGCGCCACACATATCGCCCTATGAAATCAACTATTCTATAATGAACCGAACAGAATTGGTCTGTCAGGCGTATTTATAGTGAAAAGAACGGAGCGCTTCAATTGATAATGAAAATACACAATTAAGAGTTCAACTGATTTAACCCGGCGAAAATGAAAAAGCCTCAACACAAATTGAATCTGGGGACTCGAAAATCAAACTTAGTATACATAAATTGTTATAGAATTATGCTCAAGTTGTTACCACAAGATGACATAAGCCTCGAAAGTATTTGGCACTTATTGTTCTTGACTTCTCATGTAAATCGTTTGACCGACAGGTTTATAAATCAAAGCAATTCCGTTCCAACTTTGAACATGGGTATAAATGCTCCGTTACAATCTGGTCTTGGCTCTCAAGATCATAGACAAGAAATGGCAATGTTCTCTTATATAAGATGCCTATCAAAACTGTAAATCAGTTGTTTAAAAAAAGCACATGACAAGGCGAAATGATAATGTTAATGTCCAGAAATAGAAATCGAGAATTTCGTAGATAATTTACCGCGGAACATGTGAAACGCAGTATTGTGTCGCAAGATGAATGTTTGATAGGAAATAGGGTGTGTGCCTTGAGTCAATAGGTAACTGATTGATGACTGATCGAGCGTATGCCAAAGTTCTATAAATTATAAATTACCCGCACATTTTTCACTGCTTCTGTGTGTAATTCTTTCGGCAAACTACCTATGTATAAACATCCAATCAATTTCCTGTCTAAACTTTCTATGGAAACGCTGCTTAACGATTGGAACTTTATAATTAGAACCTTCATAAGAATCCAGATCGGCTCATCAAAAGTTGTACACTGCCACCGCTTAAAGTGTTTACGATGTCTTGGCCATGGCTCTTGAGATTGAAACGTCTCTTAATTGCATGTTAATTGCTCTAACCACCAGAAACTAGAGAGAGAGAGAGAGAAAAACTTGCTGATCGGTGGAAGATACAGATGCAGAGAGTCCCAGAAGAATTCACCTGGGGATTGTTATGTTTTCTGCCCGTCTTTCCTTTTCTTTTCCGTAAGTAGTTTTGCCTTTGTGTAAGAACTGGACTGCAGGTTCGGGCTAAAACAGTTGCACTCATTTGTTGGCCCAGTCGTTCTTGCTGCTCTTGATCTTCCGCTGTGTTTCTCGGGTTCTCCAGATCCCCAGATCCCCAGTTCTCCTGAGTTCTCAAGTTCCCGAGTGCAAGTACCCAGTGAAGTACGTGTGGCTATATGGCTGCCTCTCTGCCTTTTGCCCCAGCCTCTGGCAAGCGGAGACAAAGACGAGTTTTTCAAGTTTTCCGACGGGGGCACATGAAGTCATTCAAGTGGAAGCAACGAACTGGACGGTAGTCGTGGACAGGCGAAAGGCTTGTGGTCTCTTGTCTCTGGTCTCTTGTCTTTCCTACTCCGAGCTGTCATTCGCACTTGAAGATCAAGTGATATATGTCTGGCTGTCTGGCTGTCTGCCTATATGCTACGTCTCTCTGGGCACCAAGACAAAGTAGAACCACTGGCAGCCGTATATTTACATGGTATCAGGCAAAGTCTATGGGGAGCCAATAAGTTTCGATTAGATAAGAATCGGGTACTTGACGCACTCGCAGTCTCCTTACGAGGTGTTGTTTAGATGGTGTAAGTGAGCAAGTTATAGACCACTTCACGTCATAAGCATTGGGAAACTGTAAATGCTAGAGAAATGTGATCTCAAGTGTTAAGAAAAGGGGACAAATGGTTGGATTAAATATAATACATCATTGTACCCCTTTTTTAATTCCAAAAAGACCTTAAAATGGGCCCTTTTTATTTATTCCAAAAGCTTTAGACAATAATAATCTCCAAAGTACCAGCTCAAGCCCTAAACTTAAGAGCCACTAAAGTTTCATACTTCTAAGAACTATTCCCATCCCGGCAAACTGACCGCATTGTAACACCTTTAAAGTTTAAAGCGACTTGCGTTGCGATAAAGTTTGTATATAACCTGGATTTCGGTGTAAATAGTTGGGCATGCCCCTTTATCGCCTCGTCGTGTGTTTGTGTACTTCGTGGGGTTGGGATAGATATGTGTGTATAGAAACCCCCCTACAACGAGCGACAAAAGCGGAGCACTGACCCAATTCAAAATTGAAATGAATATTCCTAAGGTCTGTTGAGGGGGCCATTGTGCCGGTGTTTTTGTACGGATTCACAGTCAGGTGTTAATTAAATTTATTTAAACCCTCTTGAGGTAAATCTACGATTTCAATGGCCCGATACGAACCAAATGAAGCGTGTCCAAATAGATTTGCCCTTTAGGGCTGGGCTACCGATTCGGGAAATGAGTTGACAATTTGTTGGCAAACGGAAAACTCGAAGCAAGCCCAAAACCAGAAATCCAACCACAGCAGATTGGATCGGTTCGGCTTGGATGGCCAATGGCCCATAGCCCCCACGAAAATTGCGGCTAAATGTAATTGCCAAAAGCATCAACAACTTTTATCACAAAACCTGTCACTTGCGCCGACTGACTATGTATGCCAAATGGCTCCAGCATAACTTTTGGACATAATTAAGCCATCAAACCAAAATCTTTGCCATTTGCGTTGACAGTAAATTGTCGCTGTGTTGGACAACAACGTGTGTGCGCACAAAACTAATTAATTAAAATGAACTACTCAAAATGTTGGCAACACTTGGCAATTTTTGTTTTGGCATTTCGGTTACGACACTTGTGGGCTGATGAGTGGGGATGATTTAAACGGAATTGGGAGATAAAATCAAGCATTACCAAATAGTTTCGGGGGTTTTACGGTTATAAAGCATTTAAATCTGATTGTAAATTAAATGGTTTTTAATTATTTTCTTGTGAATTTGGCTAAGAATATTGTAGTATTGCTAGGTAATTATAGAAAAGCTTTTCGTTAAGTGGAAAATAATTAATTTAGGAGTTTTAAAAAATTATCTTTTGGTTCCTAAACAAACTCATATATGATCTCCAGGGCTACCCACTGACTTCTTCCCCTAACTACCAAACAAACCGACAGCCATGGAAACCCCACAACTCCCAGATAAATAACCATAAATAAATATCCAGTTAATAAGCAATCCCTGAATAATGCAGTACTGCTGGCTTCCACAGGAGCGACGTGAACCCGTCTTCCGGGAGAAGCCACCGGTGGTCCTCTCAAGCAGTCGATATCAACGCATCCGGGCAAATGCCAGTCAGGCGGCCAAGCAGGAGCAACTGCATCAGCAGGAGCTGCGCAGCCAGGCGGATGAGAAGCTGCGGATTGGAGGCGAGGAGCTGCTCCGTAAATTTGCCGGTCGGAATTTGTGCATCACGCGGGAAGAGGAATGTGCCCGTGAGCTGAAACAGATGCAGGATCAGCACCTGGAGGCCAAACGCCTGGCGGAGGAGGAGACCAAGGCCTCGCGGCTGGAGCACCAGAAAACCAGAAAGGATCGAATCGAGGCTGCCCAAAAAGTGGTGGAGCAACTGCGTCCCGGTCCGCGGGAACTGCAATGCGCCCGTCTGCAGAGCGAAGTCATGCGGAGCGTCAATGTGCAGCGGGAGGTGCAGGCGGAGTTCGCCAAGGCCAACCAGCGGCAGCAGGAGCTGGACAGGAAGATCTTCCAGGAGCAGGTGCTTCGTGGCTTCGAGGAGGCCCAGCAGCGTCACAAGGAGCAATGCCAGCAGCTGGGCGAGCACAAAAAGGAGCTGCTTCAGTTAATTGCGGAGCGGGAGAGGGAACGACAGGTGGGTCTTTTACCATTTACCATCAACAAAGTATCTACAAAATATTAGTGGAATGTCTTCTGGCATCACGTTTACAACTATTTTTAAGCATCTGGAATGTAAACTTAAATTTAATCACGTCTAAATGCCAGTAGTTGTGTTTTCAAATGGAATTTGGAATTGGTTAATTAGCAGTGGTTTCATTTAGATTATAAATTTGATCTATACCTATACTATACCCTATCTATAGTATTTTGAAAATATTTATTACACTTAATTGTTTTTCTATGGTCTAAAAAGTAAATTGAATTTTCATTACATCTTAATGCCAGCTGTATTCAATTTGATTTTACATTTCATCTATACGTCTCTGAAATTATGATCTAAAGAGATCTAAATGGTAACAAAAAATCCAATTATTTTTTAAAAATTATTATTTATTTCGAATATAAAAAAAGTTCTCTATTTTAAGCCCTAACCAAGAGAAACAAAGCCTAAAATGTATATTATAATCTTCTCCCTTTTCAACGCCAGGCCACCAAAGCCAAGGAGTTGGAGGAAGCACTTCAAGAGCGGGAGCGAAACCATCGCATGTTGAGGGATCAGCAGGACAAGGAGAAGGAGCTGCTGGCCTCCAAGCAGCGCCAGAAGAGGGAGGAGGCGCTGGCCTCGCTGGTCATGTCCGAGCAGCGACAGAAGCGCCTCCAGATGCTCGAGGAGGTGGAGCAGGTGCAGTGCGATGTGCACAACAAGGCCAAGGGCCACTTGGAGAAGCTCAAGCGGGACAGGGCCAAGGAGCGAGTGGAGCAGCGCATCCGGCGGAACGAGAAACTGGCCAAGGAACTGGCTCCTCGCCTGCACTACAGTGCTCGGGAGGATGAGGAGCGGCACAAGCGCCAATTGGAGGAGATGCGAAAGGTGCACAGTGCCGAGCAGGCCAAAAGAAGGCAAGCCCGGGAGCAGGCCAAGAATGCCCGATTGGCTGTCCAAAGAGAGGAGGAGGAGTTGGCCAGGAAGATGAGACAAAAAGCTGCGGAGGATCGCAAGGAGGCGGAGAAGCTGCGTCTCCAAAACGATCTCACCAATGTCCAGTTCCAAAGACAGCAACGGCTGGAGCATCTCCAACGCATTCGCGAACTGCGTCGAGAACTCGATGACCAGGTGAAGAAACGCTTCGAGGAGGAGACCCGACCAGGTACAAACTACAATCGGGAGGCCCAGTTGGAGGAGTTGCGCGAGGATGCCTTCTTCTTCGACTACGCCCGCCAGCTGATGGACGAGGCCAAGGCCAAGGGTTGTCCTCTCAAGCCATTTATCCGCGCTGTTGGCCAGTATAAAAGCGAAAATCGCATTGGAGCCGAGATACGGATTCCTCGCCACATGGTCACCCGATTGCCCATGGGCAGGCGAACTCAGGGAGACAGCAAAGCGGAGGGCAAGGAACAATCCTTGGAGAAGCAGGAACCCAATGCTAGTCAGCTGAGTAAGGAAGAAATGATTTTAAGGCAGAAGATTGAGGAAAACCTCAAGAGCATTGAGGAATTGGTTTTGCAGGAAGGCAAGTCCCAAAAGGATACAAAGATTTCATAATAAATTGTCGTGAATAAATAAAGTTTAAAGTTTAAGCGCACTACTTCACCCTGAAAAATCCGAAATCCCCCAAAGAAACCTCAAAACAAAATGGTTGAAAATAAAACCCCTAGCTTGACATGAATTGTGGTTAACTTTGTGGACTGTAACTCGAAGGCAAAGTATTCAAGTCATATTCATTACATTGACAACTGGAGACTGCTCATCAAATGTATTGAATTGCAATTAAAGGTGCGAAATTCAATTCGCTGCCGATCGATTTCCAATGCCATTACTCACTGGGCAGCCGAGTTCAGTCGTTGGGTTTAAATTTCCTTAAAAAATACTTTAAAATTGCTTCTTGGATTTTTTATGTAAAAAAGTAAATAGAGAGCATGCTTCGAAAAATAATGATCGTATGAGTTTTAGTTTTGTAGAACACGAGACAGGAGGCAGTAGCTTTAGGGAACTCCGAAAATACTTTGAATATAAAGCCTGAAACTGTTTTCTCAACAGGCTAAATTTAAGTGTAATATTAGATTTGTAGAGATGCCACCGAAATTTATGAATAGCTCTGGAGTTCTCACTGTGAAGCTCGAAGATCTGAGGAAACTCGTTTCGCCCACCGAGATCGAGTGGTTGGAGCAAAAGAAACGGGAGGAGACGCAGCTAAAATTCGATCGCGAAGTCATCCAGATGCGACTGAATCACCTGCTGCAGCGCATCAACGACCTGGACGATCAGCTGGAGCAGGAACGCATTAGCGAGGGGGAGTTCCAATCTATGGATTCCCTAAGGAACACGCTGAACCTGCGGCATCAGCAGTTGGTCGAGCGGCTCGTTCGCATTGGAACGCAACTGGCCAGGACGAAAATAGATCTGAAGAGTGGAGAAATGTCCATTTACGAGAACCTAAAAGCCAGGGGATTGATATAAAGGGAAAGCAATCAAAAGAATATTTTCGGAACTTGTATATAAATTCGAAAATTAGAAGACTATATCTGCGGTTTTGATAGTTCTACCTTTTCTAAACGTCCCATTAGGAGTTGGTCAAGGGGAGCCCGACTGAAGTGGACCAAAAAAGAAATTAAATGTTTAAGACTATCTTATAGACAGATGCGAAAATAATGTATCGGGAATATTTTTAGAGAACTTTATAAAATCTATTTTTTAGACTTTTGAAAGAGTTATCTGCGGGTGTATATAGAAATCCCAGATAATCATTTACAAAAAGTTTATAACGGAAACTTACTCAAATGGAGATGGAACTTTTTTTATTATTATTTTTGGGGAATAAAATTTCAATTAATTTTCCAAGGAAAACAAGCTAATGAAAAGCCAATATTTTACAATGGAAACTTACTGCCCCATGGAGACATAAAACCGATTTGATTATTGCCACCCCCAAAAAGCATTGAGTAAGCGAGTGTATTATCTGTTTTGGGTTGTCACTCCAATGGGTTTTCAGAGGTTCAGTTTGTAGCTTTTTGTTTGGAGTTCTATTTACCTTCTGAGCAAAGGTCTGGCAATGAATGGGAGGCATTTGTATTGGTGCCGGTTGGTTTTGGTGTTTGGTTGGGTATCTTTCTGTATTTGCCCGACGCTTAAAAGTTTTTTATCTCCTCTGTTTTGGCTGGGCTTGCGATGTCGTCGTGAACTTGTTGATTTTAGATACAAACTCGAGTCGTTGTCGCTGTTGTCAGCATTGTAGTCGTTTTATTTGCGCAACGAAACAAAAAATACATTTCAGAAAATTGTCAAAAAAGTAATACCAACGAACTCAATGACTTGAAGGTTAATGTAGCTTCTTCCATGCCCTGTGCATTTTGTGTTTGATTGCAAATAAAGCCGAAACCGAAACAAAAACGAAACTCCAGCCAAAAGGAAGTGAGATTGAAGGGGAAGCTTTGGTTTCAGTCGCCAGACATTTATGAAATATTGTGTCCACACTCGCTTCTCGGAATTGATGTTTGAATTATGAATTTAGACTGACACAGGTAGAACTCCTTTGTTCTTCGCTTAGTTTGCCAATTAACCGAAGGATTTGCGGGCCAAGGAAACTGGTTATGAGATCATATCGTGTTTGCCGGCTAATTATGTTAAATGATTTGGCAAATGAAGCGTTTATATGGAGTCTGTCTAATGGAGTGTGTCGAGCAATTCAAGAAAGGTCTTACAACTTAATAAATTGAGCGTATTTTTCATGCTATAGAAGGCAGGGTTTCGTTTTGAATTTAAAATTGCAATATCCATAGTTTTTTCCTTCGAAAATAGGAATGATCTTATCGTTTACCTCTATTCTACGTTAGTATTATATTTACTTACAGATGTGCTAATTAAAGTAGAGCCATTGTAAACATCGAAACTTACCTGGAAGGAAAAAAGAAGAAAGATTAGTTATATCATTAGATATGGTATAATTAATACAAAAATAGAGCTGATCTCATTATAGGACCATTAAGGGGTGGCAGATCTCATAAAAAAAATCCTCTTCATAAAAGCAGAATTTTTTTAAGAATCTGCTTAGTGTTCTTCTTACATGGCAATTTGCTCTTACACATGTCCTACAATTCCCCAAACATTTTAATAGCTCATTAAAACAGCGGCTACAGAAATACAACGACAATTCCGTGAAATTTAAGTAGCACACAGAATCATTAAAAAGCAAACACACATGTGACATCAAAAGTATTATGTCTCAACTTCTTGCGGCACGGCACTGCGATGGAAAAACAAATTTGTATCTAGCGCAAGTCGATTGGCATTAATTGTTTTGACATTTTACTGGATAACCCCCCAAAGGCCCCCAACCCCTCCGCCCTTCTCCTTCACAGATGAGATGCCAATTTAGGGTTTTGCAAAACACTTGACAGCAATTAAAAGTAAGTGCGACTGACATTACTGCCCCCCCATTGTCACTTGAGATTTAACTTTTTCGTTTTGCATTCCATGGGAAATTTACAGGGCGCCAGACTGTGAAAGGCGACAGATCTTGTAATTATATTGATTAACCATGTGCTTCTTTTATATACAAAGTAGGAAGTGCAATACTTAAGAGACTTAAATCTTTAATTTGAATTGTTATTTAAAGCTAATTTCAATGCTACGTTTTTACAACATATACATTTATTGGGCCTTATAAAATCTAGTAAATAGTAAGAATGTACTGGAATATTTTGTCTATATTTTTATGACTCTAAATTTTTGTAATTCGAATCTTGTCTGTGGCATTTGGTGGGTCTGCCTGGTGCAGCCATAAAAAATGTTTCCAAAGCGATTAAGCGCTTTTATTGATTCACACATTTTTACTCCAGCACTTTGGAGTGTCAGTGGTGTCAGTGTCATTTAGATAATGCAGAAACCTTCAGAATAACAATAAATAGAACAACAATTGAAGAATCGTGGTCGAAGTAAATCACGAAGCTTACAATACTTGATTTGCGCTTGGTGTAATAAAAACAAAATCGTAATAATATCTACAGAAAATTAAGCTTGAAAAATGAACCAATGAATAATCGTAACAAAATGTTGGTCTTATACCGGCTGGATTGGATTGGAGCGACAGCAACAGCAAAGGCAACTCTTCCGCTTTGTAATTAATCAATTTCAGCCTCGCAATGCATACAAAATAAATCGCGCGCATTGTGTGAGAAATCAGCAGCCGTGCTGCTTGGTTTTATAATAAAAATGTTAAAATTTACGAGACAAAGGCGAAACATTGACGGCGGCAACATGTATCCGACGACGACTCCGACTCTGGATCGGATCGAAGCTGGCAAACAGCCACTCAAGAGTCCCAACATCCGCAGTGGAGGGAAATTTTGCATTCGGCTGTACTAGTAAGCCGGTGAAGTTCCTGGGCATGTGTATTGTGTTTATGGACTTTCGTTAAATGTTTGCCAATATTATGAAAGTAGTAGGGGCCAGAAAAGCTGCTGGGAAATGCAAAAGACGGTGGGATAATTGAAAAAATGCTTGGAAAAAATCCTAACGAAATGTGAGGTTTAAAGTATTTAAAGTCCTAATTCAGAACCGAGAGTAGAAATTTAAAAAGTTGTTAAATCAACTATAGTTCAGAATATTTTTCTGTAATTTTATTATCTCAATTGTCAGTAAAGGGGATTTGACTTGCGGATATAAAAAAAAACCCAGATAGCATAAAATATTATGATTCAAAACATAACTAATTTAAAATAATTAGTTATTGAAAACTATCTGAAAATGTAAAGTAACACCTATATTTCAAAGGTTTATCTGGTGAGTAGGTATTGTAGTGACTCATTTAGGGAAAGGAAATTCTCGCTTAGAGCCTGTGCTATCTCTCGTTGGTCTCACCTTTCCACTGTGCCTTGCTGGGCCCAAGAGTTTTCCTACTTAGCCATGGCCTATAATTTATGTTTGGCTGCATTTAACCGGCAGGCAGACGCTGGCCAGCGAGCGCATTTGGTAGTCGTGCCGTTTGGGCCTGGAAATTTGACTGCGGTTACTTCCTTGGCTCGGCCCCGTATCGCCCATTGAGCATCGCAACGCATAAATCAAACTTTGGTCTCGGCACAGAGGTTTTCCTCGCCAGAAATTGTGGTTATATATATTCAGAAACGTTTGGCTATATCAAGTTGCCAGCTTCTTGGAAGTCGGATGGGTCCAGAGCCAGGCCAGTTGTCCGTCGAATTTATGGCCTTTTAATGTTGCAAACTTCTCTCTGTGCCGCTCTGCTGGCGTTGACATTGTAGCGGTAAATGTTGATAAATTAATTCGCTGCAGTGTTGCAACGTTGCAGGTTCCAGGTGAGTCAGTGGACGGGAAAAGGGTTCGACACCAAACTATCCGAAATGTCAAAATAACGGCAGGGGTTTGTTTTACAAACAACATTTTTTTACAGCCAAAAATTCAAGATATTTTTTGGCCAAGAAAGAAAATTTCTTCCCAGAAATCTTCACATCCATCAAAATCAAAATTAAATAGCCGTAATCCTCTTTGAGGTTTCAGGTGTCAGATCAATTTCCTTGATTGCCAAATTTTTATAATGAGCCAAGATTAAAGATTACAGACTCACCGAGTTCAAAAAACTTTTCTTGTTCCGCCCTTTTGTTATTGTTTCGGTTTTATCTGCGCGATGAATCTTCTAATTAAATGAAATGTTTAGTCATTAGGCCGTAATTTCACTTTGGCGAGGTGAAAGTCATAAGAGAAGACAACAAGAGGAAATGCAGAAAGTAAAGACACTAAATCATCTGAGCAGCAATTAAACAGAGTGAGAAAAAACACTTCATAAATTACCGCAATGCGACACGCCCACTTTGTAAAAGCGAAGCTGAGGTTTTGTCGAAAAGAGGAAACAATAAGTGAATGAATGACAACACTCAAATCGCACATTCGTTTGCCAAAAATTAGTCAGCCAAGGGGTTAAGCTGGAAATAAAACGAAAAAACAATCGCCGATATTATGACAGCAACAAGCTTACGTGTAAATGCGGAAAAAAATTCAAATTATCATACGAGTGCACTTCATATTTATTGATTTTTTGGTGTTCATGCCCACGCATGTTCAAATATTGCCAAAAAAAAGGTTTTATTTTTTGTGACAAACCAGTGTAAGATGGTAGATTGAAAAACGAAAAAGATAAGGTTAAAAAGAATTTTTGTTTTGTATAGCAGATAAAATATAATAAAAAACTTAGTGAGAGAGTAGTAAGTTTCTCCTTATTTAATTTTGCATATAAATTTAATAAACTAAAGAACCTAACCTAGAAAAAATTTAAAACAATTATCTTAGATATTAATAAATATATTCTTAATTGTAATAATGGTAATGGTAATCCTGAATCCATTTTTTATTTGTTACTACAGAATTAATTCTCATTCAAATGGAATTTGGCACGCGAAATGTGAAGACCTTTGAGATTAGATATTGTGGTGACATATGTATACACATATCTACAAATATAAGTGAAAAGGTTACCCCTTGGTGTGGTTCGCAC